CCTTTTAGTTTCAATTTCCTTCATTGCTTAGGCGCTCCGCCCATATAATTCTCAGTATCCTTCTGTAGAGCCACATCTGTTGTCACCATTTTTCTCTGTAGGGGGGGGGAGACTGGACTCGCTAACTTTAGCTGTCTCGGAGAAAGACAACTTTAAATTCAAAACCGCAACTGAGGCTGGCAAATACACTTCGCAAAAACGTACTGTTAAAAAATCACAGTAACAACAGCTAGAGGGATGAAACTGTGATCCTATATTCGACAGGAGAGTCTAAAGGGTAATAATAATAATAATAATAATAATAATAATAATAATAATAATAATAATAATATATTTTATATATCAAGAAAAGTTTTAGAGAAGAGATGTATGACAAAGTGGAAAACGTTTTCGTCTGACGCGTTTCGTTCCTTAGGACTTCATCGGACTAGGCTATATATATATATATATATATATATATATATATATATATATGTGTGTGTGTGTGTATATATATGTGTGCGTGCGTGCGTGCGTGTGTCTGTGTGTGTGTGTGTGTGTGTGTGTGCGCGCGTGTGTGTGCGCGCGCGTGTGTATGGTGGGCGGGCTACTGAGACAAATTGGAAAAACTTTTGAACGACGCTTTTTAACGTCGCGACGCTTTTTAACGTCGCGACGCTTATTCGGCTACTTAGTCATTACTTTTCATAAAATTAGCTTATCATATCCGACGACCAGAGACAGGAAAATGTTTGATCTGTTTTTTTTTGCTATATACATATATAGAGAGATAGATAGATAGATAGATAGATAGATAGATAGATAGATAGATATATTAAGATTAACACACACACACATATATACATATACATATATATATGTGTGTGTGTAAGGTCTTGGATGAAGACAAACGAAAGTTTTTAAAGGTTTTATATATTTCATTTTTTTTTACAATTCAGACTATTTTTAAGATTTCCGGGTAGAATTTGAGGATAGATTGTCCAAGTTCTTCTGAGCGCTCTATCTCCATTATCAAAGAGTTTCATTTTGTGGTGATAGGCTTGTGCCAATGTGCCTGCTGCATTCTGCTTCTTTTTTGTGTTTTTCGAACGTCGCATTCTTACTTCTGTCAGCCAAAAGTGCTCATATGGCATTGCACAATTTATATTCAAATTCTGCCTGGAAATAAAGAAAAATTAGTTCCAACCCTAGAAAGAAAATGGTATAAATCATTTTTTTTTCTTAACTGATAAACGGGAAAATAATTTATGTTCCATTTTGTACATTATGCAAAAACTAAAAATACGGGCATTTAAACTGTTTATATAATGCTCGTATAACCATGAAAATCGCCTAATTTAATCTATTAATGCATATCATAAAATCTGGTATTAATTATAAAAATAAAAATATAAACGCTTTGTTAATTATTGATATATCCGGTATTAATTATACTTTTATAAAAAGAAAAACTATTAATTAGAGGTTTATAAGAAATTCAGTATTAATTATAGGTTTGTACCGATAAACTATTAATTTCCATCATCTCAATTTTTTTAAGCCGTCCGAAATACCAAATATTTATTGTTTACTTTTCTAGAATTATCCTAAATTTTACTCGAGTAAAAGTCCTATTGTTTCAGTTCAAAGTAATAATTGGTTTCTTAGCTAAGCGTCAAGAAGCGATTCATACTCTTGAAATATTTGCCCGAACGTAATATCAACTGCATCCTTCTAATTGGCATTGAATCAATGTAACACCAATTAGGTCACTTAATGAGGAAACCGATTAATTGTCACAATATCTATTATATCGGCAGCATTCAATAATGACAGTCGTACATCTTGCTCGAAATCAGCTGATCATCAGAAAGTGTTTCGCTAAGATTGGGGTATTTTGGATAGAAAACTGGATTTTGTGAAGAAATAAACGTTAAAGGAATTTTAGATTATCGACGAAATATTTTTTAAAAATATTTCAAGGAAAAAAGCGCAACTTTTGATAGATGCACTTTCGATATTTTGCGAAATATTAATTTAAACATTTTTACCTGTATATTTGTGTATATGTAAATAACTACCTGCTTTATGTCACTTTCTCCTTCATGGCCATACATGATGGCTGACACCTGTTTGTCTAGTATGAGGATCACAAAATATCATTGTAAGACCTAATTTGCTTTGAAAGGATGCGGCTCTTTAAACCGGAGAAACTTTCAAAATATATGACACCAAGATGGCGTATGTGAGAAACATATTTTGCAGTCATTAGATCTGTTTTAGTTTCTGTTCGCATGTCTTTTCATACCACCAGTTGACTTGCAAACTTTTCTGCAAATGTGACATGAATTTTGTAGTTGGCCGGTTCAATGAATTCTCATATGAATTAATACACACACACACACACACACACATATATATATATATATTGGGTTGGTGAATAATTATCTGAAGTTTTTGTAGGCAAGTTATTTGTTAATAAAAATTGCTTTTTTGTTTACTTTTTTAATAAGAATATTTTATTTTTAGTGTCGATAATTATACGCTCCCGATGTTATTGTTGAATTGTTATGTTTCTTTTTACATAAAAAATATTGTTTAAAAAACGCCTGATAATTATGCAGCAACCATATATATATATATATATATATATATATATATATATATATATATATATATATATGTGTGTGTGTGTGTGTTATATCATATTATATCATATCATATTTGACGTGCTATACATTTAGCTATGAAATGTCTCGAACAATCCGGCCCTTTAATGTTTGTTTATTATAAACAGACCATTTACTTAAAGATATGTATCTATAAAAATAACGTATAAGAAATAATTATATTAATATAGTTCTCGGACATTTATTTAGAGGATACACGTGTTTGAAATAAACGGCCCGTTTTTTTTTTGTTTTTTTTTGGGGGGGGACGCATTACGTGCATCATTTTCTTTATTAAGTTTTCCTTAGTGCGCAGGTCGGTAGACGTAATACACACATTAAATAAATGGCTCGTCTATTTCAAACAAGAACATGCACTAAAAATAATTAAAGTATATATATATATATATATATATATATATATATATATATATATATATTACTTCAATTATTATGTGTGCATGTATTTAGATAGAGTATATTTAGACCGTAAGAATTCAGTTTGTAATATTTATTTGTAATAAAATATTTTACACTCAAATCAACACTGCAAAGGGTTGATAAACCGTAGAAAACGAATCAATCATTCATTTTTTTTTTTGTGCGAGCATTGTCTCAGTCAATATCAAGCACTTGTTGCCAGTAAAGCAAGAATTTGTTGGCTACATCATGGTATTTTTGAAACGCTTGAATTCAAATTAATGCGTATTTTATGTGACGTCATGTGCAAAATTAGAGAGTCCGAGTGCACCGGAAAAGAATGTACTAAATATTTATACGTATTATTATTATTTCTTTGTTTTTTGTTGTATAAACATTCCTTTCTAGGTCCCAACCAGAGACCTAAGGTCAGAAATGGCTTCATGAAATTTTCCATTGATCATTTAATAAAAAAATCACACATATTTTACAAAGATAAAGTTCTTCGTAATGTGTGAGCTGTACCTGTGAGTACATTTTTTTTGTATTTCTTTAAGGTATGGGATTATTATTATTATTATTATTTTCTACGAATATTGAATATATTTTACATACTTTATACTGGCCCCTGTAGTTAAAGATATTTAATGCTGATTGTTTCTTTTGTATAATAATAGATTATCAATAACTCGGGACCTCAAAAGTCTTGATTGCAGTGTTTTTGATACGGTCTCAAGTTCGCCTATTAGAGGCACGCCCCTAACCTTTATATTCCATATCTTTCTCGACTTCCTGTCAAATTCCTGGTATTTTCCTAGTTTCTCAATATGTGATGCACTGGCACAAATCCTTTGATCTTTTTCTTTTTTTCTTTTATCTAGATTCGGTTTTCTTGCTTGGATGGGGTGCGTAGTCTGGATAACAAAGTTGTAATATATTTTTTATTTTTTATTTTTCTGGATAGTCTCTTGGTAAATCTGATACTGTTTGTCTGCATGGCTGAAACGAAGTTGTTTGCACAGTTCTTAGTGTACGTCTGTGCCTACTCTGTCGTTCTTATTTTTGTATTCTTTCTGGACTAGACGTTCACTTATTATAAGACTTACAGTCTCATCTCTTTCTTCACAGTAGCAGTATCTACTATTTATATTTTGTCAAATTTTGACATTTTTTGCATTGATGTCCTGTTGCATTTATTCTGGACTGTAATAATGAATGTTTTCATTTCTCTCTTCAAGTTTCATAGCCATGCCCATGATTGTATGTTAACGATATTTTCATTCTATTTTTTCTTATTTTCTTTTCCGCATTTCTCTTATCTTGCTACGGGTATTTTTTTTTAATTATTTCTTGCTGCTTTCGAAAGCTTTTCAAAACAGTTTCCCTACATTGCTGTATTTATTTATTTATTTTTTAGTCGTTTCGATACTGACGAGTCTCTTGTCGCCTTCTTTCCATTCCATAAATGACTTGTCCATATCGTCTTTGGGGCATAGTCTTGCGGGCGCTCGTAAGTTTTCGAGTTTGTAGTTCCAATGATTTGAATTTATCTTTTGTCCAGCCGAGGAATAAGTTCTGTGTACTTCACTAGCGATACTTTCCAGGTTTCTGTCGGTTAGTTTAGTTTCTCGTATTTTTCTTATCCTTTTAAGATATTTCTTACTTTCTTTTTATTTTATTTTATTTCCATCTTTTTTTTTAATGGGTCCCGTCCGAATACCCCGAGAATTATAGCGGTCCTGTACGATCAATGTTCTGATTGTTTTGTTAACCGGAATATCAATTCCATCTGTCGTCACGGGTCTTTCCTTTTAAGTGATTGTGTATATTTCTCTATCGCAAATTCAATTCCGGTGTTGTTGTCGTTGCGGTAGTTATTAACTTTGTCGATTAGAATTTCGAGTTCTTTCTTATTCTTCACAAACGGCCTACAGTCACATCACGCTGAAACACCAGTTCCCGGACTATCACCGAAGTTAAGCAACGTCGAGCAAGATCATTACCTAAATGGGTGACCGCTTGGGAATACCAGGTGCAGTAAGTTTGAATGTGCGGGTGGTGTAATGGATAATGACTCAGAATTGTTAATCGAAGAGCCGAGTTCCAATTCTAGATGGGTTCTTTATATTTATCTACGTACAATTATTCATGGGAAATATATGATTCCACTTCTTCTCCACCCAACTAATTAGTAACCTCCCACCCACAAAAAAACTCTTATAATCTAAAATATTTTCTGGCATTAAACAGCCTGAAAAGAATTGATAAGCCGTAGAAAACAAATCAATCAGAATCAAATAAATTATTCTTCACGAATAATTTTAAGGAATGGTATCCTTAGCAGTTATTATATCGATAAGAATTAGTATTATTTCCAACATTAAGTGTTAGCGAGAGGTATGAATCCATATCTTCTCCCCACCAGCTATGGATTAAATAACAGTGTAGACCGCACTCCATGGCCTGAGAGATTCAATCTGTGAATTCTAAAACTGTGGAAAAGACAACGGGAAACCATTTATATCCTTCCTAAGAATGCATGACAATTCACTAATAGTAAAGGAATCTATGAAGATTTATGGTCACCTACGTCCCGAGGGATATGGCATTAAAAAGGGAAATGACTGGTTGTTCGTTTCTAAGTATGCTCGTCTGCGAATTCCTTTTGCAGACGCCTGCTCAGGCATATTCGTGTTATCACAGAGCCAACCTGTGTTTTATACTGTAACTATGCCGAGTGGACTTTGCTTAATGTATTCTGGGAGAGAACATATAATCTGGCATGATCAACAGTCTTGAATAAGGCCCGTATGCTCGGACCCTCGGTCACGATGACTTGTGATGTCGTGCTAGCGCAACCATCGACGGTTTCCGAAACGTTGCATCTGCCCATTTTAGCTCACAAGGCTTAGGTCAACCCGTGGTATTGCTAGACTCTTCTTCCCAGGATGATATCAAGAATTCACTTCCTTAACAAATCAACCACAGATCCAGAATTTCGTGATCGGAAAGTTAACATTCTTACCACTCGGCCACGTGTCCATAAATGAATGTTAACGTTAAGAATAACTGGTGGCTTACCTTGGTGATTAAGTGAGAGCAAGTCTCCTCAATATTCTCGCATTCCCCCTTAACATTCAAGCTGTTTTCAACAATACCACATGCATTATGGTCATGTATGTGCGATATAGTGACATCGTATAACAGGTGGCCTCCAGTTAGAAAATACCTTAAGGCTGCGTAATCTATTCCGGACTCCGATCAAAGGCGTTCCCAAGTGACACCCAGGTCGCCTTAGCTGCCTCACCCTTCAAATTAAAAAAAAAGAATCAACCCCTTCGACACCTGGCCATAATGTCCTTCTACTACGCCCTCTTATAAACAGAGACGTAGAGTGCTTCAATCCTAGGGGACATGCCTGACTGGTTGAGCAAAGGTAATCGACAAGTAAATCATCGGTCCTAAACAAGATATCTACTGTAGCCCATCTTAATTCACCAAGAATACATGTAAATATTACCACCTCAAATCGATTGATTGATTTGTCTATTTAACGACATATCCTTATGGCTCATTTAATGCCGAAATTTACTGTTCTCAGAAGCTTGGAAGTAATAAACATGTTATTCTGCTTTCACAATTGAATACATGGTAGATAATATTCAGCTTTTGTGCATATACATGTTTATGTGGAGATGATTACAAGAGGCAGTGATGTGCATATTGTGTTGTAGTTTTGTTGAAGTTATATTTTGGAATACGGTTTGATTTAAGAAATTGTCGGATGTTATATGGGTTAATGTCATGAAAGTTCTTTTATGTTGGTCGTTTGGTAGTCTTTTATACGGATTTGGGTGAAGTCGCTACAATTTGTTAGTATGTGCATATTGTTGGTAAATTTTTATATAGAAATATATTGCTGGTATTTTTATTATGAAAATGTATTTTTAAACTTTTATCGTGTTTTGTTTTTGATTGGTGGGGGGTTACTACTTGCCCATAGCTGGGGCCCTAACAGGTGTTATCATCCCGGGTTAGGGAACAACAGCAATTAGGTGGTTCCACGCTCCTCGAAACCTCCAATCTCCCGACCAAAGGCCTTGCTGCCTGATGTAGTTTATCGTCATGCCCAGGACTATTTAATCAATTAAGATCAGAGGCCACGTAAGTCAAGCCTGATGTTGTATCAGGGCATTTATTATTATTATTATTATTATTATTGCTGTTGTTGTTGATGATGATTATGGAATAAGAGAGAATTATTGAGTAAATTTCAGACATGCAGAGTTTTACTTTTAAGTGTCGTGTTTAACTTTCGGTGCCCTGTAAATATATAGTGTTTTTTAGTTATTTTTTAATTACTTCTAATAATTTCCTCACAGATGAGTCTCGAGAAAATCCAAAGAAGGGTCTGTAATGTTATCGGTTCTGACCTGGCATCTCGACTTCAGTCACTTTACTACCACAGTGACGTGACTTCCCTGTGCCTTTTCTATAAATATTTTCATGACAATTGTTCTAATGAGTCCTCCTCCTTGGTACCTTGATCGCATGAATTTAAGCGTACTACGAGATTGGAAACTACACCTCATCGTTTTGCTGTAACCATAAGTTCTATTTTAACAGTTTATTTTCTCGCACTTCTAAACTGTAGAACTCTCTTCCGGTCTCTTGATTCCCTGCAACCTACAATCTTCAACAATTTAAATGCAACACCAATCGCCATATTATGTCTTCCTGAATCTGTTCTTTTATTGTTTAACGCCTTCTCACTTTCTTTTTCTCTCGGTAACTCCCCATACGTCTTAGTGGCATAATCGCCTTACTTGGGGTTAAATGGTTAGAAAAAAGATGAAGAGAATACAACAGAGGTGTGGTTCTACAAAAGAATGCGTAGAATATCATAGATTTCATATGTGAGCAAAGAGGAAGTGTCAAAGAAAAGGGAATAAAAAGGGCATTAGTATATAGAATCAGAAAGAGTAGGAATTTTTGGGATAGATAATGAAGAAAGAACACTTGGAGAATTTAAAACTCACAGGACATATTGAAAGTAAAAGGAACAGAGGGAAACAGAGAGTAACCTACCTAACAAGCTTGTGTCACCTGATGTCTGAACATGGATTGGGAAGGACAGTAGGGGAATGAACATTGTTATAAAGGATAGGAAGCTGTGGAGGGCAATGAAGAAGAAGAAAAGAAAAGCAAGAAAAGAAAAAGAAGCTATATTGTTTATCGTACAAAGGATAAGAAGCTATAAAGGGCCATGTTAGGTCTTGAAGAAAGAAGAAATAAGGCTTCTAATAATGCTCTGTTTCAGAGAAAACGACTGTCTTTTTTAAAATACTGACAGAAATAGACTTGCCTGGAAACACTTTGAAATAGACATTGAAAAAACATAACGAAATCAAATGAAGTCTTCGATTAACCTTATCTTTTATCGATTCTTTCATCTTTCAAGCATTATATCGATTAAAGATAATTCACTTTTATTACAAATTCTTGTACACTTAAAAAAAAAGAGAGATGTTGTTTACAGATTAAAAATCGATTTTCTTTTTTTTCAACTTATTTTTCACTTAATTTAAATTATTTTTCACTTGATGGTTGCATTTTGAAATTTAATAGTGCATTTCGATACTTATTGGTTAAAAAAAGACTTAGAACAATGTTTTTCAACCCTTTTTTATATCACGACAAACTTGAACCAATAGTTAAATATCCGTGGCACACTTAAATTATGATGTTTAAAAAAAATTAAAACAGAGTGTATGATTTACTTATTAACACAAACAAAACAATTTATTATTATTTAAAAAAATAATAATAATTGAAACTCTAAAAAAAATTATATTTATTTATTTTTCTGTTTATTATGATAAATTTAATGAGATATCTGGGCATGACGATCTTTTTAGAATATCTTCAACACTTTCAAACATAGATGCGAGGGGGGGGTGCTTTCTCCCTACAAAAATATTTACACAAGAATTCCAAGAGTAGTTATTACAACTGAAATATTTATCAATGAAATCGAAAATATCATGGCTCTTTGTTTTTGTTTATAATAAATAAACGTATGCATTGTATACGTTGTATTTATTATAAAAATGATATAATCGTATAATCAATTTAAAGAGGTTTTAATTTTGATATGTACACTGTACACATATTGCGCTTTGCACGTCTTTCGAGAATAATTTAATTAATAATACTTTATAAGATTTTCGCGACATAACTACAATCCTCGACACACAGGTTGAAAATCACTGACTTACAACTATGGCAATCCGAAATACATTAGATAAATATACGCGAGGGCGCGCGCATACACACACACATATATATATAAATATGTATGTATATATATATATATATATATATATATATATATATATATATATATATATATATATATATATATATATATATATATATATAATTATATATATATATATATATATATATATACATATATATATAATTATATATATATATATATATATATACATCAATTATATATAATTATATATGTATATATATATTAATTATACATATATATTTCAATATTATATACATACATATATATCTTTCGAGAATAATTTAATTAATACTTTATAAGATTTTCGCGACATAACTACAATCCTCGACACACAGGTTGAAAATCACTGATTTACAACTATGGCAATCCGAAATACATTAGATAAATATACGGCGAGGCGCGCGCGCGCACACACACACATATATATATATAAATATGTATGTATATATATATATAAATTATATATATATATATATATATACATATATATATAATTATATATATATATATATATATACATCAATTATATATATAATTATATATGTATATATATATTAATTATACATATATATTTCAATATATATACATATATATATATATATATATATATATATATATATATATATGTGTGTGTGTGTGTGTGTGTGTGTGTGTGTGTGTGTGTGTGTGTGTATGTATGTATGTATAAGAAAAGACAAATTAAAAAACATTAAATACAT